CTTACATATTTTAATTAGGGAACTAACGAATAGGCCACCTAAACTGAAACACTCCTATTGATTTATATATATATATATATATATATATATATATATATATATATATTGTTTGAATCTTTTCGTTCGATCAGTCACTTCTGGCATATGTGTATCCTATGCAAATTACCTCGATATTGCCATTATTTGCAAATTATTTTATGTAGAGTTGGATAGCGGCTGACAGTGATATTCAGGATGTGAGTTTTATTCTATTTGGGATCCATGGCGTTTGAAGCGTACATTACTGTGCCAGAGTTCCGTAATAAACAACAAGTCTTTGAGGCATATCCAGCCGACGAGTCCCGAATATTACGAAATATGGGTCCTGGATTCCACCGTTAGACGTTACCAATCTCTGCTTAAAACTTTTATTGATTGTATGTGACTGTATTATTAGGACGCAATGGCAGACATATTGGTGACGTAGGCACCATTGATTCACTGGTTGTAGTGTATTTTCGATTGAGTTAATTCCTTCAAACAAACAACACAGTAAATTACTGATAAAGCAAGTTTTCGTTTGTAATGCAATTGACAACTTTTATTCCATCTTTGCTATTGTTATTTCTCTTAATCATGCTAGCAATTCCCCTAGGTGGACCCACCATATCCACCAACCCGGTTTAGGCGCCAGACACTGTTTCCGTCCTTTCAATTTCGTAAACATCCCCATCACGAAAGTGCATTGAGTAGGACTTCGCAAGCAGTGGCCATGTGACAGCATTTCCAGAGGGAGAGCTGACTCTTCCTACCATCTGCCGTACCACGGCATTTGGGGGCGCCAGGACGCATGCCGAACTCTCGTCGGAATGGTTATTCACTTTTATCTTACTGTATGATGGAAATTACTTCAGAGATGCTTTGTATGAGTTTTTCAGAATTGTTCAAAGCTGTGAAGTTCAGTTATTGTCTTAGGATACGCAGATAACAAGGGTCCACTTGGTGTGGAAGCTGACGAAATACGGGACCATCCGGGCAGTTATTCAAGTATGTTTGCATTTCTCTCCCAATAAATGCAAAATGCTGCCTCACGACTGATCTGCATCAATGTCTTAACTAATGAAACGTGGTTAAGTAATAAGGCGCGTCAACCGCTTCACTTATCCGAGAAGTCTAATCGGGCTAGGTGTTCAGTGACATGAATTTACTGACTGTTGAACTGAGTCATGTGGGTAGGTTTAGTTTACCTAGTTGAGGTCCACGAGACTAGTGTGACGTGGCTTAAAGTCGCAATGTCGCACACGCATTCAATCTGTATACTCCCTCAGTTTTAAAAGTCTGATACTTTTATCCCGAGAATACATTCATTCTCCTCGATTCATATTATCTATGCCTAAAATGTTCTACTACCACTCCTGTCATTGATTATACTTTTCTGTCATCTCCATGTCCTAATATGGTAGGCTAATTTGAACCAATCCACATATGTACCAGATTTTACGTTGCGTGTCGCTGACTTGAATTTTATTTCAAGTCTCCAGATTTTTCCGGCGAACATGAATAACAATGAAGAGACCAGGGAACACTGAACAAATAACTCTACAAATCCTTAAGAACATAATAATACAATTAGTATATTGCACCCTTAACACATTGTCACAGAAAGGCAAAATAACTAAGTGCTAACTTCAACACACAATACTTTTTTGTCACTGATAAATTAATAAATGACAAGAATAAAAAATAATGACAATAATCAGCGAACTGGTATGCTTGATCAAATTCCTGAGTGGACACTTTCTTGCATATATAGATAGGGATCTCCTCGTAAAGGGAAAAAATAAGTAGCCGCTTGAGCATATCATCGAAGATAAGTAGGATATACTCGTCAAACTGATATAAGGAAAACAAACACGTAAGTGGATAAAATTCTTAAACTTTAGTGATTTACCTGGACAGAAATCAATAGTAATTATTGAAATACCGGAGTAAGAAGAGATAGAATAAGAAAGAAATTGATCAGATTTAAGTGGACAGAAAGAATAGTTATAATCGAGAGAATATTTGAAGCTATAAATGAATCTCTGGAGATGCCTTAACGGATACACATATTGTGTTTACAATTAATGACAATTAGACTATTACAGTCTGACGAGGTAGATGAACACATTAAATGTTGATTAGAAAGGATAAACAAATTGAAATGACATTCCTGAATTTTACGCGTTAATAAACGCTTCTTCATTATTATCTTTTTAGCACGATAGTAATAATGATTATTGAATAAAAGCATTAGGAAGTACATGTCAATCGTAAATGGGCGAATTAAGTTTAAAATCAACAAAGTACCATTTAATATAAAACGTAATCTATCGCCTTGCCAATATGTATGCATTTGCACAAGAGGAAGATAAACAGAAGTAATACAGTGAATACATTCGATGGAATTAAAAATAATTTAAATAGAAGCAATATACAGTAAACAACAAATCAGTTATAAGTAAACAAAGTTACATATAAAAACACCTTATAAAAGTGAAAAGTATCGATAAAATATGCGAAAGCAAGTTTCAAAGAAATCAGAATATAAATAACTAAACTAAAAAACAATGAAAACAAGATGCAATTAACCTTGCAAAAAACAATTTAGAGAGAATCATCACATTGAAAGTGCTGATCAACAGATCCGGATACAAATAACTGCGTATGTTTCGACGTAATATTTATTTTTGGACAGTTTGATAATCACTCCGAAATGATGATAGACATCGAGTAAGAGACACATAAACAAACTGATAGGTAATTCTTTTCGAAATATATATTATTATGACTACTCATTTATGTATGAAGTGAATTAGTGGGGACAGGAACATATGTATATGAAAACCATTCCACAACTTGTTTTCAAAAATCAACTCCTTATTGGAAATCGTAAAGACGAAATTGCTACTCACCAAAAGGAGTTACGGATGTAATTCTGATGTTTTAGTTATAGAAATTAAAAAGTAAAGAAAGATTAAACACACGAAGTAAAAAAAACAAGTGAACTTTTAAATGAGAAGAATAATATTTAATTTTGCGAGAAATTATTCAGGAAATACGTCAAAAATATGAATGAGTCAAGGAAAGGAGCGAAAACTTTGAGTACTTATAAATATCATCGGAAAAAGTGTGGGTGAACAAATAAAGCATCAATGAAAAGTGTAGAAGGAAAGTAAAAACATAAAAAAAACACCTGGGTTAACGCACATGAGAGAACGGGTACTGGAAAAACGAAGTAGAAAGAGCAGAAGAATGGATGGTAAGAAAAATTGATGTGTGATAACAACGGAAAATGCCGGATTTGTTGATTTTATGTAAAAAAAGATTACTGTTACCTTTCATTTTATTAGGCTGTTTTTGGATTAACCAACATAAACAATAGCAGCACTAATACAACGAATGTACAACATTTAGTGATGATGTGAATAATCCAAAAAAGGAAATGTCAAAAGCATTAGTACAAACAAGAAATTACTTAGAAAAGATGAATTAAAAATACAAAAATTATAAACATAAAGTGATCAAAGAATCAAAGAAAAACGAGCTTTTCCAGGTTAATCCATTGACTTCCATTTTAAAATTATGGCTTGTTATCAATGCAACCCACTATATTATTATTGTTGCTTTCTAAATTATCATCCATGTAATCTTAAATGTGTAAATGCCAGGGAATCGAAATCTCTACATATGTATATATAAGAGTTAGCGTGAAGGAAAATAGAATCAAGAAGTGTATTACAACAAAATACCATATAGCTGTTATAATAAGAAATCAATTCACCGATAATATGCGCATACACAGATGCATAATAATAAACAGATGATATATATATATATATATATAATAACTTGTCAACCGGTGACGGAAAATGTTAATTAAGGACTGTCTCTTTTTTAGTAGTCAGCCTATAATAATAAGCTTGGTGATCACATACATTACACACGTACTTTAATAAGCATTAATGTAAAAAGATAATAGGAGAAAGCTTTGCAAGAAAATAAATAAAAACGAGAGAATAAACGTCATATCCACACAGGTCGGTGAAATAATTAACAAAAATTAAAAACAGAGTAGTTATTCGATTTTTTTGAAGCGTATTGATAAATAGATAAACAATGGTGGCAATAATCAAGAAAATCCAATAAGAAACAAACAAATAAATAAACGAAAAAACAGCATAAAAACAATACCCAAAGCAAAACAAAGGGGCTAAAAAAATATTACCTGACTTGACAAGAGAGAATATGGAAAAAACCCGGATTGGGATAAAGGTAGTAAGTAATATGAATGGCCCTGCCTTACGTTACACAAGCACAAAACAAACCAAAGTCTGTATAAATACCTGAATAGTGAATAACCGGTTCATATTATTCAAACTGTTTAAGTATTTGCTTTCATACAAAAAGTCACACACAAGCAGCAAAATAGCTTGAACCGAGTTATCCAGTAGAATAAGGATGATAGGCGCTATTATATATATATATATATATATATATATATATACCTGAATGGTTACCAGTTAGGCAAGAGAAAGCACATGCAACAAGTTATTCTGTTTACATGTACTAACTTGGAAAGACAACTGGTTATGAACTGGCAAATTAAGTCGACATACGGTTTCAATTATGATATTAGTAACGGAGATGGAGCTCAGAGCCGAACACTACAAAAACAGAAATACAGAAGGTTGTATCATCCTTGGTAAAAAAAGACGACCAGTGAGTTAATAAAATAAGAATGTTCTGAATAAGTTATCTTAAGGTAATACAATAAGAAAGAACGGGATTAATAAAAATCCATAACATATAAATTTCGAGGTTCATTCAAGCTGCCTTCAAATTTCGTTGGAAAATATAAATATGTATATAACATCAAGTAACAACTATTCAGTATGAATTTTAAGTAATCAAATAGATGAAATGTTCTTCTTAGAAATATGCCTGAACAAATTAAATTAATCCACTAATTCGTATGCGCATCAAAAACTAGAAGTTATTGGGTTACTACTATTTGACGTTGTAGCAGTACTTCCTACAATTCGATCAGCTAGTTCTAGACTTAATTCTAATTCCAGTGGTTCACAATCATCATCGTAAGATGAATAAGGTTCAACATAATGTCGTAAATCCCTGTATGTACGATCAGTGGATCGAGACTGTACTGGATTTGAAGTAAAAGCTGATGATGGTGACGATGATTGCTGTGTTGCATAATTTGTTACAGAAGAACGATCAGCTCGTCCTAAATTACACAATTGCTCAGAAATCAGATTTCCACTTTGGCTAACTTGTTTCGTTTGAGTTTGTTGTTGCAGGAACGATGATTCAATATTATGATCAGGCATACCGAATAGCGTCGTTTGAGGAAAATACATAAGATCAGGTGGTGTTACTGGACCTAATGATCTACTCGTATTCTCAATACCACCATGCCCTGAACAGGATGTGGATAAAGATGTAATTGGATCTCCTCGTTGTAAGCTATGTGAATCACTTAACAAACGCATATCTAAACCAAGTGAATGACGCCAAGAACCGGAAGATGAACCAACAGAATTCGTTATGGATGGTGATAGAGATGTAGTTGAATTACCGGAACAATTTAAAAATGGAAGTTTTCCATCATTTGTTGTATGTATTAAATGTGAATTATCATAAAATGAAGATGTGAAATGATTTACTGGTGTTGATGATTGTAAAGTAGATGATTGAGATATAAAGTTCGTTGTATTATGAGGTATTGGATAGAATGAACTTGCAACTGATGAGTGCAAATTAGAACGATAAGCTTGCCAATGAGATTGAGCTGCTGCCGCTGCCGCCGCAGCAGTAGCTGTAGAAGAACCATGGTGATCTGTCAACAGAGGTACAGGTAATAAATGGTGAGCAGCAGCAACTGACGATGATACACGAGATGAATTAATATGATTAAACAGAGCACTTGGATGAAAAGATTGCTGTCTAATAATTTCTAATTGAGGTGTTGTATCCATTATATTAGAAAGATAATCTGTTTCCATTTGTTGTAATGAAGTACATAAGTTCGAATTATTCCCTGCAAAAGATGATTTACCTGAGTGACAGGGAAGAAATGAATTGCTTGGAAAATGATCCGATGATAAGCGATCAATAGTATGCATTGATGAAGACATACTATTTGCTCCAACATTTTGGTCATTACGCAACAGTTGTTCAATTAATCCACTTGTTCGACTATCATAGAAATTACAGAATAATTATTTAAATTAAATAACAGTGTATCTGAGACTAGAAAAAGTAAGTATTAATATTTTTTGATAAAAAACAAATATTTCACAGTCCAGATTGAAAATAAAAATATGTACACGATGCTCCACTGCCTTATGGGTCAGACCTTCAGGTCGAAGGCTCGGGGAGTGGCCCCCCAAGAAAAACACCTGCTTCGGTCTGGGCACCCGGGCAGTATCACAGCCCTCACACATATCGAATGAGATTTATGTGTCGCATATGTATTTGGTGCCTCTTTGTACCAATATCTATATGTTGAAATAAATAAATGTGCACAAATAAATTTTGTCTTATGTCATTTTAACGAGAGGTGAAAAATAAACCCACTAATTTCTAGAGACGATAATCGACATGGAATACAAATTTTCCAACAAACAAATGCCGACACATCTATAAGTCAGATAAGTTTAACGATTATATATATAGGCAAACTTGTTAAAGCACATATACTTGGTTGATAAGAATAACTCTGAATATAGTAGTTAGATAAGTTTAGCAATGAACAATACCACAGGCCAAAAAATTATGAAAAGTCACTGCGAAAACGACTCCAAAAGCTCATTTAACAAGTGCACTCGGTTATGAGCAAAACAGATTTTGGTATAGCTAATGATAGGACCTAGCTGCTTAAGTCGAAGCAGATGGGGTGCGGTTCAGCACTGAAACTGCATGACTGAAAGTTAATTTACAACAGTGCTGATTTTCATGCAACTGAATAACGAGGTAGAATTACAGGTATATGGTTTTAATTAACATATTTGTGTGAAGGTTGACGATATTACCAAAGTAGAAACAAGACTCGGACTTTATTGATATTTCAACTACTCAGGAAAATAACACTGTTGATCATTTAGATAACCTAATTTCAAAACCATAAAGCTTTGAATATTTCCTCAACCAGTTACAACTTATACACGTTGTAAGTCATACAAAATAAGCCTGTGGATTTCGGGCTTTATAGTCACATCAACTATTCTGATATAAACTATGAATGAAATTTGAAACATTTATAAATAAACAATAACGCTTTGCAATTTCATTAAAATCTATGCAGTAAATTGAAGTAGACTACTGACGACTTACGGAACAGCAGAAAACAATACCACATAATCACTAAGACAAAAACAGGTAGAAAAGGTAATTTCTTAAGTCAATCAACATAACCCAGACCATAACGGTTACAAAGTGTAAAACCCTATTAAACTGAAATCCTTCAGTTACCTATTTATCAAATGACAGACAATTAAAAATTTTTAATTTTTTATCTAATATTTTGTGTACAACTACTCTGATAATTCATTGTTTCCTTTTTAATTGCAGTTAAAATTGAGCTTTGCATCGAAAGTGCTTATAAGTCCCATATTTTGTATCAAAAAGCATTATCTAAAAGATGTAAGAACAAGGAGAACGCTGTTAAAGAGTCTAGTAAAGAAAAGGTTGTGACCCGATGAAGCCAAAATTAAAGAAACACTGAACAACAGAGGGAACTGCATTACAAAGGTTCAATACAGCCATCCTTCGAGACACTGACAAACTCAACGAATTAAATATAGCTCTCAACAACAGATTACAAGCCATACATAATCTACTCAAAGAAGATGAATCCACTAGGAAGAACTACTGCAATAAATCAGAGGAGTACTAACTTCAGTATGTCACGAGGTTCTAGGCCCAACAAGCACCATCAAAATGAGTGGATCTCGATCGAATTCGTGGACGGCGTTCAAGAAATGAAGAACGAGAATACAGCAATCGATCAGAGCAGAACAAGAGCAGAAAACGTCGAGGCAGAAAATGAATACACAGAAACAAATAAGCAAGTGAAGAAGAGCATTAGAGCCGACAAGCAAAAATGCGTGGAAGACCTGGAAACGACAAATGAAAGAATCGCAAGAAAAGCAAATCTGAGACAACCATATGATATAACAAAGAAACTAACAGGGAAATATTGTAAACCAGGATGACCGGTCAAGGACAAAGAAGGCAAACCAGTCACTGAGAGTTAAAAACAGTGGAACAGCTGGATACAGTAGTTTGAATAACCCTAGAATAGGTCAGCCACATTGAATCCACAGGACATCGAAACAACACACACAGACCTTCCCACACACATGGTCACCAGACAAATGGAAATTGGGAAAGCAGTAGGACCAGAAAATATATCAGCTGAAGCACCGAAGTCAGATACAAAAGCAACTACAAACATGCTCCACGTTCTAGTAACGGAGATTTGGAAGGAGGCACAAGTGTCGACAGACTGGAAACAAGGATATCTCACCAAAGAAAGGAGATCTGAGTAAATGTGACATTACGAATAACTGTTGAGCAACCAATCAAATGGGATTCGTCACTATACATCAGCTTCCTTGACAATGAGAAGGCGCTCGTCAGCGTCGATTGGAGAACCCTATGAAATCATCCTCGATACTGTGGTTTACTTAAGATCGTCAACATCATCCAGAATTCATACGACGGACTACACTGCAGAGTCGTGTATGTAGGACAGCTGACAGACGCATTCGATGTGGGGGCCAGTTTCAGACAAAACTGTTTATTCTGGTGGTTGACTGGATTGTGAAGACCTTGACATCTGAGGGGAATCACGGGATACAATGAACAGCTTGCATGCAACTAGACGATTTGGAATTCACAGATCACCTGGCTCTTCTATTCCATACAAACCAACAAATCCAGGTCAAGACAACCAGTGTAGCAACAGCTTGTGCAGCGGTGAGCTTCAACATACACAGGAGAAAAGCCAAGATCCTCAAATACAACACAGAGATCACCAACTCAATCACACTTGATGTAGAAACTGTGGAAGAGGTAGAGAATCACGTACCTGGACAGCATCATCGACGAACAAGGAGGATCTAATGCAGACGTAACGGTGAGGATTGGCAAAGTAAGGGCCGTATTACTACAGTTGAAGAACATATGTAACTCGAAACAACTGTCAACCAACATCAAAGTGAGAATCTTCAATACGAACGCCAAGACAGTTCTACTGAACGAAAATGAGACTTTGGGAACTACAACAATCATCATCAAAAAAGTATAGGTATTTCTAAACAATTGTATTCGCAAGACACGCAATGTTCGTTGACCAGATTTCATCATCAACCTACTATGGGAGAGAACAGGCCAACTTCTAGCTAAAGGAAATTAGGAGAATACGTTCGAGGTGGATAGGAATCACCAAGCTGCATCATGAAGCAAGCGCTAACTTGGAATCCTGAAAGGAAACGGAAAAGAGGAAGACCAAGGAACACATTGGGCCGAGAATCAGAAGCAGACGTCAGAAGGGTGAATAGCAACTGGAAACAATTGGAAAAGACTGTCCAGAACAGAGTAGGACGTAGAATCCATATCGTTATCCTAAGCTCCACGAGGAATAACAGACGTAAATAAGTAAACATCACCTTTCGACCAACTCTAGTACGTTTAAAACTACCATCTATTGCTATATTATTATGCATTAAGGATGCTAGATTTTACTGGTGGCGGTCAGATTATTGAGACTATACAGGCTTACTTATACGCGTCCGAGTATGATAGTTTTTCTTGACTTAAAAGCAGCATTAAACTCCTTAGACCGAGAGGTTCCATTGCAATATATGTCATTGAAAGGTGTACTTTAGATGTATATAAACCTTGTGAAGGCCCTTTGCTTGTACACTACCAGTCGAGTTAGGGCTTATGGCGAACTGTCATCTGATTTCGCAATGTCAAGTGCTGTACTGCAGGGCTGTCTACTATCTCCATTTTTGTTCAACCTCAACATAGACCTACTGATGGAAATACCTTTCTCGTCGACTGAATTCTCGGGTATTGATCTCTTACCAGAAAGTCCACTTGTCGACTTAGAAGCAGAGTCTTTTGGTAGCACTAAGCAACAAGGCCAGGATGTTTGGGATGCGTTTCTCCCTATCAGAAAGCAAATTATTACTTCAGAACTGGCCTGTGTCAACACCTGAACTGAGGATAGGGATTAAAGTAGTTGAGCGTGCCGACAACTTCACTTATCTTGGAAGTCTGATCAGCCCTAATGAGGTGGTGTCAGGCGAAATCTCTGCACGAATTCGAAAAGCTCGTTTAGCTCGTCACCTATGGCGAAGGCGAAATATCGGTCTATCAATAAAAGGACTAGTATACTGCACGGTAGTTCATTTTGTCTACTTTACGGCAGCGAAACATAGCCATTAAGAGTAGTAGATACTCGTAAGCTACTAGTATTTGACCGCAGAGGCCTTGGAAATGTTGCTGGCGTCTGCTGAGATCACCGGGTAAGTAATAGTGAGGTTAGACGCAGGGTATTAGGGAATGACGGTAAATCAGTTGGTGAGGTTGTAAATCCTCAACGACTGAGATGGTCGGGTCACGTGTTGCATATGCCTGAACACCGATTACCATGAAGCGCAATGCTGACTAGTGTTGGAGATGTTTGGAAGAAAGTTAAGGGAGGCCAAAGCAAAACGTGGCATCAGTCCTTGAAATCACTAACTTCTAGTGTGAACCATGTTGGTAGATGCAGACTACTTTGGTTGAAGTGATTATCGTAATGTATGTGGTTGGAGACTCTGTGATATGACTCAGAACCGATCACAATGTCGCAGGTGTATACACTCTCTGTCTTCTCTTAAACTGTGAAATTAAAATTGCTTTATATCATTATTTCTACCAACAATTTTTTTCTTCCTGTACTATATCGTGATATGCAATCTTTCTTTTACATATTACCACGATTGAATTAAGTACTTCTATTAACTTGGTGTTCATTTTGTTGTGTTAATGAGATATAGCAACTTGGACCGGTACATATATGTGCCTGGTCCTGTGTTGTAGCTGACCGACTGACCTACACGTTAACTTAGTTGACCTTCATGAATAAATACGGTAAAGTATTTGTATTTGTTACGTGTTAAACGGAATGTGCTCGTTTCATGAATAATAAAGTAATGAATATTGATAACAGAAAAAAATCTAGTTCATCTAATCAACCAATATAAATGGGAGTTTTGTGGACAACTGATGTGATTGCGTGACGATGGACCATCTACATTCGTGAAAAATTATAAGAATGCCACATGACGACTTTTTATTCAACTACTAAAAATTTCTGATAAACTACTCAAATACTTAATTATTACAAGTTCGAAAAGCGAAGATTTGTCCACATCCACTAAACCCCCTGTTCTAATGTTTGAGCAGAAAATCGAACCTGATTTTTTCAATCAGTTTCATTTCTGCTACAAAATTTAAAGTACTGGAGAGATGAGTAAATGAATTCCTCGAGAATAGAAATACCGAACCTTTTGATACAAAAGAAAAAATAGCAAAACCGATTAAATAAAAACCCTTGCCCTGGCTTTAAGTGCTGACCAGTTTACAGCCAGTATAGTACGTTTTAGACAGACATGGGAATTTCCATATCATATACTAAATTCAATACTACTACCTACTACATATCCTCAGTATTTTTTGGGAAATTTAGTTTACAGTTGCAACAATGAATAGGAGATTTTGATAACACCTATACAATGGGGAAAATATACAGTTTTTTGCTGTTGTCATCCGCGCTATAATAACTAGAAGTTTTCACGAACAATCATCAAAAAAACAACACATAGCATTGATGAGAATTACCATCGACTTGGTGGTTGGTCAGTAGAACATGACAGACCAGAGAAACCAGAGTTGAATATCCCATTGGGAGGATTCGAACTGTATACCTGAGGATTCGATAAATGTGTTAAAGATTTTGCATTCTGCCAGTGAATATTGATACAAGTCGGTATTGAATTATTGTTGTGAGTAGTATTTGCTTGTTGTGAACAATGATAAAAATTCATAGATTTAGTTGCGGTACAAGTGTCAACAGATGGAGATGAAGTCAAACAATTCAGAACATTTGGTTCATTGTAATCCTTACTGCATTCGGTATTTGAACGACTGTCAGTAACTTTAGTAGATGAATAGTTAATATCCACTGGATACTGTAGCTCACAAACAGGTGATAAAGAAGGTTTGGTAATGTCGCTATCGGCTGAAGGCACATGAATGCGATGACCAGGATGACTGGATACGGTTCGGTGAGAAACACCACCACCTGATCGGTTATTTATTTTCCCATAATTGCCAGATCCGGGTCTCTTTAAATTGGTAGTATCCATAGAACAAGCCCGTCGACGCACATATGGCTTAGCGGCTACGTCTGGATTAATTCTCCAATATGATGACTTTGTATTGTCTGATGATTTTGGACATTTCGTAAATCGATCATGTAATGACAGGTTGTGACGGATTGAATTCTATTAATAAAAAAAGTGCTTCATTTTTGTATCAGCATATATGTAAATGCCTAAAATATCCTGCTATCTCAAACATAGGAAAAGCAATAATAACACAACATATCATACACTACGATTGAACAAGGAAGAAAAAGAAATAATCAAATCAGTGAAAGTAGAGTACTATGTAAGCCTCAGATTTCATTCGTCAATCTCTTATGACTGATTGCTAATAAAGACTCACCCACCGCTAAATTACTTATACTAATACTAGTACTACTATTCAATCTTAGGAGACATTACTACTCCAAATGAAGTACATAATAGAAATCTATATTTTTTGTGTATGATGTATATTATCATGCTCTCACTTGCCATTATTATTAAGTTCATAATTCTCGGAAGCCGTCTCAACAATTATCCGATGACAAAAGTGAAGTATTTATAATGATATAAAAATCGCATGCATTGTGTTCGAGCGTCGTTGTTCAAATGATTTCTGACACCCAGTGACAACACAATATTAATAATACTGAGGTTCAATATGGTTAGCGTCACTCTCATGAAATTTCGACTCCGGTAGCTTGAACAACATCGCAGCCTCTCTCAGTCCAGTCAGTATTTCTCGATGCTGGAACTGGGTGGAAAACGCGGAGGTGACCAGTTTCTGACATGACTCCGTATTATGCATGGAAGGAAGCGGTGTAGAACTACTTCCTGTCGGTCTATCACGACTCCCCAGTTACAATCCAATCGCTTTAAACATGGTCAGATTAGAAGTTAGTGGTGATCCGGCTGTAGTTCTCTTTTACATTCTTCACAACAGTGAGAGGGACTACCTTATCTGAAATAAGTCTTTCTTGGTCGTATTTCTATTTGAACTGTATCTGCGACTACACTATTCTTTTTCATTTTACTTTTTGTTTTTGATTTTACTCCCCCTTCTCTCCTTTATTTCTCAGTGCGATATCTATATTTGTGTAGTGTATACTATTTTTTTGGTGCGTAGTTGTATCAAAATGAACATAATAATCAGAAACAGGATTTTGTAGTAAAATTTCCTCAGCAGTAAGGTTGAGATGTTATACGTTTTATCTAGTTCAATGGTTCAAATCAAAAGAGCACAAACTTTCAAATACGAAGATAGTTCACGAATTGTGATCAGTGTATTAAAGCAATCCATAGCTGATTTCAAATTTATAAAATACACTTTATCCCCTAATACTTTTATGAATGAACGCTGTAGTTTAATCCTAAGTAAACGAACACTAATTATCAATGATAAATTACTTTTTATGTCAGATAAAAAATTACCTACAAAATAAACTGATACACAATCTGTACAATTTTATGTTGTATGTAACTCATTCTTTACTTGCTCACTAGTGATTATCCACAAGACCAAAGTATCAAGAGAAAGGTTGATTCGGACTATGATTTCCGATATGTAAATGTGTTGACACAAGCTATTCACCATGTCTAAAACAACAATTTTCCTCAACAAATCGTACACTACATTATCAAATGGGACTTCATAGAAACTTGATGAGGTGGTGTACACTTCAAAAGATGAACAGATTAAACAACAAATACTTTGGTCAAACAATATAACTGGATATCAAGTAACATACAACTAGACCATCATGTCTTCATATTACTACATATACAAGCATCTGGGGATAGAGGGGGAAATAGGCCGTTATACAGGATTTAAAGCATAAAACTAAGACAACTGTAACAACTGCCTACTTCAATTCGAACAACTCTTTAATTTCCGTATTAACGTTCTTATGACATATCGACGGTATACGCACCCATACTAATTGAACTAAGTATTCCGAAAAATGGCGCTCGAAGACAATTTTCGAAGAAACCCATGAAAACCTGACCAGGACTTGCATTTATAGCACGTAGTTCTTAGGCTACTGTTAGCCTCAGATTTCTCACTGCATGGAGCCATTTTGTAATTGCTGCTCTACGGGTTTCTTAGAGACACTACTCTTTTGTCTTTACCATATCCTGGTGATGTTTACCAAGAGTGTGGGCCGCTCACAATGTGGATAAAGATGAGTACAAATTCTTTCATTAGAAAAAAATTGTTGAGAATTAATATATTAAGCTTTTACTGTACTGATTTATTCTCCATGGTCAAGTTAGCGACCATAATACACACATTCATTAGTTATGCACCCGAAATGAAGTATATTTTGCATATTCTTTCCATAAAAGAAAATGAAAATTGTGATATTTGTTTGAGAAATGAAGGCTCCTCAATCGCCTTTCATTGTTTTATTTATCTGATGTCACAATCCCAATACCCTAATGGGGAGATGTGCTGATCCATGTGGCATAACATAGCTACAACGATACTAGTAAATAATTTGAAATTCAAGTTTTTTATTGGTGAGATGGTATATAAATGGACTGAGACAAAACATCATTTTTACAAATAACATGTGTACATTCTCTATGTGGAATTTATAAACGAAACATGTATTGGATTAACAAAAATAGATAAATGGACATAGACATACACACACAACCGTATATATATGTAAATAACGTGGATGTTAAAGATGTGTAAGGGTAGACAGTATATATGACCTTCAAAAATCAAGGCTAAGAGAGTTGGTCGATGAATACATGAACTAAACGGGACAAAATATGTACTTTTAGATTGTGGTAGAATGGCACGTGGTGACCAGTATCACCAAAGGACAGTAGACTGATCGTATCGATATCAATAAATAAGCAAAACAAGAATTAAAGTAGTACTTAACTTGGTATATGTTGACAGCGCGCAAACTACGGAAATTATGCCGAAGATTTTTAAAAAACCAAACTGACCAATAATGCGAAAATAACAAGATTTAGAAAATCACTACACAGGATATTTTGCTTTTATTAATTTGTCAAGTATACACTCATATACCTGGCTTGGGAGCACTTTATGTATAGGAATAAATGCTTGTATTCTAGCTACCTGAACCAAAATAAATAGAGAGGAGTTCGGAGCTGCAATTCACTAGTTGTGAAAGTGAGATTCTTTGACATGACCTGACTACTTCCTTCCATCAAATAATTAGGTGGAATCAAGTTTTAGGAACATGGGAAGTTCAAAAATACACCCAACTTTTCTTAGTTCTGTCGATTGGGCACAAAGATTTTTGAAAACTAGGAACATAACTGCCAAAAATTAGTTAGTCGGCAGTCGTGAACAAACGAGTAATGATACATTGTTTAATAGGGAGTAATAGTCGGTGATGCCAAACAGTTTATTATAACATCAAACAAAAATTACAACAGGTAAACGTTATGATGACAATAAACAGAAATTTAAGAAGCATGTCTGATATTATTTAGGATGCATAAATGTAATGACATATGAATTCTATTATGTTGACTAAATTCTTAAAAATAAGATGACCAATATTCACAAGAGATGATTGAAGGGAACCGCGGAAGTGAAAATAACTGTAAATAGTTGACAGCTGACAGACGCATTCGATGTGGGGGCCAGTTTCAGACAAAACTGTTTATTCTGGTGGTTGACTGGATTGTGAAGACCTTGACATCTGAGGGGAATCACGGGATACAATGAACAGCTTGCATGCAACTAGACGATTTGGAATTCACAGATCACCTGGCTCTTCTATTCCATACAAACCAACAAATCCAGGTCAAGACAACCAGTGTAGCAACAGCTTGTGCAGCGGTGAGCTTCAACATACACAGGAGAAAAGCCAAGATCCTCAAATACAACACAGAGATCACCAACTCAATCACACTTGATGTAGAAACTGTGGAAGAGGTAGAGAATCACGTACCTGGACAGCATCATCGACGAACAAGGAGGATCTAATGCAGACGTAACGGTGAGGATTGGCAAAGTAAGGGCCGTATTACTACAGTTGAAGAACATATGTAACTCGAAACAACTGTCAACCAACATCAAAGTGAGAATCTTCAATACGAACGCCAAGACAGTTCTACTGAACGAAAATGAGACTTTGGGAACTACAACAATCATCATCAAAAAAGTATAGGTATTTCTAAACAATTGTATTCGCAAGACACGCAATGTTCGTTGACCAGATTTCATCATCAACCTACTATGGGAGAGAACAGGCCAACTTCTAGCTAAAGGAAATTAGGAGAATACGTTCGAGGTGGATAGGAATCACCAAGCTGCATCATGAAGCAAGCGCTAACTTGGAATCCTGAAAGGAAACGGAAAAGAGGAAGACCAAGGAACACATTGGGCCGAGAATCAGAAGCAGACGTCAGAAGGGTGAATAGCAACTGGAAACAATTGGAAAGGATTGTCCAGAACAGAATTAGATGGAGAATGGTGTTCGACGGCCTATGCTCCTATACGAGGTTTAGCAAGAGTATGTAAATATGTAAGTATAAGTAATGTTATTAAGAAATATGGAAAAGACAAGATATACCTGTTACCATAAAGTTTCGCTTATCAAATCTTCAGGACATTAACAACACTACATGGCTTTCCAGATGGATCGGTAGGTTAGGACCAACGATCCAATTGCTGTGTATTTGACAAATAAGCCAACATGCAAAGGGTATTTTATTTAATTGCAATATATTGCATATTGATTTCAACTTGATCCGAGTTTCATATCCTAAGCATAACTGGAGACGTTCCAACATAACCAATAAGATGTTAGCTTTATGATTTTGTTAATTTATCGACTGCCAGTAAAGATTTATCCGCAGTAGAACTGATATTAGTTTGATATTAGGACAAATTTTAGGGCTGTATTGGAATAACTATCTACTTCGATCACTTTAAATTCATTTGCATACACACTTAGACCTGTGTAAATCGAATTCGTACCAGGTTTTTGCACACAACAACAGTTAACTAATCACCTACGATTGTTAGTAATACGTCATTTACTCAGTAATGAAGTCACAGTTTTCGATTAGAGCTGAGATTAGTCAAGAGGTAGTATATGTGAATGTACATCAGCTATAACCGATCATTGGTGCTACGAAATGTTAATCGGTTTGACTGAAAGGTTGTACCGGAATATTCGTTATGCATCGTACTGACTGCTTTAGAACTTTGATATGACATAAACATAGTTGTCATCATAGCTCAAATATTTCAAGATACATGTTAAAAGTGCTTATTTGATGAGTAAGAAATAAGCCTGTTGGTCAATTTTTGATGACATTAAATCATGTTTATTTTCCGTTTTATATTCTGTATGTGAGCACATTCTTTTATTAAATAGGTCTATTCTTCTGTTTAGTGCTTTTACTTTTGATATTAGTTCATTCGGGGGAGACTAGTCAATAATCCAGTCCAGTGAGTGACCATTACTTAGCCAAATCTTATTGTTATATTGATTTGACAATTACTAATCTATTACTTCATGTTAACAAGCTAAGAATCATTGATTGTTTAAAAAAATTCCTTCATAGCAGATACTCTTTAGGATAGTCAATAACTATTGGTTGGAATCTAACACTGACATTGAACGTTTTGACACTTTAGCAATGTTTGTATTTTTAGAATTATACAAAAATTTACTTTGGATCTTAAGACTGTAGAGGAACGAACCAAGTGATTATCCACTTTACAACTATGTTGGATACAGCATTTGTGCATTCTATAAAATATCTATGTAAATAACATTTCTCAGTAAGATGGAAGAAATGTATGCATACAATCACTTAACTGTAATTGTCCACATATTTTATAGGAATCTATCATTTTTGTATTCATTAGGATGTTCACATACCTAACAAGAGATAAATGCGCATAGAACTTGATCAATAGAATTGTGATTTGCTAACAAGCGATGATCCAACTTAATTGCTTGATACCCTCTCGATCTGAAAACACAGGTGAATCCAAGAGTTAAAACTTACTTTTTGAGAGGGGATGGTGGCATTTTGAGTACAGCCAGACAGATCATATATAAGGTTAGCCTGTCAGGCGTAGAAGCTTGCATTAATGGCAGAACTAGAAAACAGAATGAAACATTGTTTTTTGCTTGCTCCACAGTATCTAAGAGTCAGTAAATTGTTCTCAGCAAGAAAGCATCAAAATATAATATCACTTATTTACCATCTACAGGTTTGTGTACCTGGGTGTGACCCAAACTGTGAATGCTAGCGATACTACCCGACTTCCGAAATTGAAGTGAGTGGAATATGGTTCGAGTCTTGGACACTGGTTGAAAGCCTCTGGGATGTTGTGCCTGCCACATTTCTTGACGGCGCTAATAACTTGTAAATGATCTCCACTAAAAACAAATACAAGCTGACAAACCTAATTACAACCATATAACCATGTCATCACTAGATGCCATTTTTCGGAAACGAAGTTGTTAAACATCAACTTCAATAACCTCACTAAGTAATCATAGCTTCTAAGAAAACAGTAACTGAAATTTTATTCAAACCATGTTTCACAACAAGTAGAGAACAGTGAATACAATCCGGTAAGCAATAGCAAAGTCATCAAAAATTCCCATGAAGCACTTTGAAAATTTTATAAACTGTACACTACACTGTTTGAGATATATAATTCTTTATTTATTAACCGGTGAATTCGTGTTGCTAAATGAAGATACTCCGCAGTACATATCGTATATCTCACATTATGAAAATTAATGTAAATTGAACTAGTGTGAATGTAAAATTTTCTACTGATTCACTTGGTTTTAATCTCATATCTAACTATAAATCTCCATGTTTAAATTTGCATAAGGGTCTAGCTGCACAGTCAGATTAAAAATATTGGATAAAAATGTGTAGTTATGTTTGGCAAACTACATAAGATTATTGCTAATACTTTCTGGATTGGCAAGAGTGGTATAATCGTAGTTTTGGGCCTTTTGAGTAGCTGATCACCTCAGTATATGCTAAAAAGTAGACGGGATCAGTGAAATATCCCTGAATAATGTTTGGAATACTTTTAAAGGCTCTTTAAAAAAACATAAGCAAAACCAAGATGAAATTTTATTTGAAGGGATTGAAATAAGATGTTTTTTAAGATTTGCATGATAATCATTCAATAAAGGCTGAACAGTCAGACGATTGGCTAATATTTGAGTATATCTGCAACCTAATAAACCTCACATACATACATTATAAGAATACGCGGAAATAAAACGCATAAAAATCTATGATTATTTTATTGTGGGTGGAAAGTCATCCCGCGTAATTAGGGTCTACATGTTTACACTCGAACATTGAAGCTGACTGCACAGAAATCAGTAGGGTAGGAAAAAAAGAGGGACAGGACCATATAAATAAATAAATCTGAAATAATTGCCGTAATGAAATTCCTTCGAAAGACAGGCTAGTGGTAAAGAAGCAGTCAGCGAAAAATCTGATCTCAAAATAACCATGACAGACGTAATATATTGATGGAGCAATAAATGTCTGTTAGCCCTGATCAAATGTTGTGTCTGTAAGACTACCAGTCTAGTAAAAGATAAACAATAATATGTATGTGAGGTACAATGGCAGAACAAAACCAGTCTAGGATATGTGTCCTTAGAACAAAGGTCATTTGGGGAAGAAAATGGTCGTTCGACCTTCTAAATAATAAATTTTAAAATTTAGACGATATTAATTACCCAAACAACAAGAGTAAATTATTAGTAAGCCCTGGTGTAAAATAAGACGATAGTGAAGGTATACTATGTTTACTTGTATGTACATGCAAAGTGAATATATCAGATGGCGACGAAAATTTACTGATTGAAATATTGATATATACTAAGCAAAAAAAACATGAAAATCATCTTGGAAGTTAAGATGAATTTTAGATTTAACAAACTCATTCACCAGGTACTTGGGTGTGAGCTACACTATATAATTAAGGGCTAGATATACTACTTGGTCCCCCAAAATCGAGGTAGTGGGGGATCTGAACCTAGGACTTACTGACCAAGAGTCGAACGGTTTAACCGCTAAGCCACTCCTACTGATATTTTGAATAACATAATACAAAAGGACACAATCATCAGTGCTTAATCGACTTATTTTTGAAAGGGATCGACAATGGAGAAACACAAATTACAGTAACTAATACCCATCGATTAAGAGGTAGGTAATGTGATGCGAATACATTTAGTTGGTGAGCTCTAAGGACTGGGTATATTACAGAATCCTCTTGCTGTACTATCAAGTGAAACTAATAAACTGGTGGTAGTATTTGATTCACTACTACCAGAAATTGTTCATAAATTTTGAATATAAAAACAGAAACAAGTGTTATATGAAACAAAATATTTTACTCACCTTCCATCCAGCAGAACTTGTTGGATCACTACGCTCCCGAAAATACTCATAATGAGTAATTATGAAGTCATAAATCTGTTGTAAAGTTGCTTGTTTGTCTGGATAAGAACGTATAGCAACTGAAATTAAGTCTGAATACGTCTCAGAACCCCAAGGATTACGCCTTGAAGACTTTTTAACAGGAGTTGTGCTAGTTGGGGCAGATGCACATGCTGAAGAGCCAGATGTAGGCGTATTTCCGACCGGTGTGCCAGATCTTGAAGCGTTTGATGTTGTCATAGCACGTGGACGTAGTAGTGAACATGGATGGATATTTGGTAGCGCAGATGGATCATGAAAGTGAGTTATGTGAGGATTTGTTGAACTTCCGACACACTGCTTTTCTAACCCGTCTGATAAAAGTGCTGATCGAAGAAAACTATCGCATGTGATAGAATTTCCGCTTGATATACCAAGACTTGTAGTGGAATTTAAATAAGAAACAAAACTTGGTGTAGAAAGCTGAATTAGAGTTGAATCAGGTGACATTTTAGGTGAATGAATACTGCCTTGATTACCTTGTTGTAACTGACCGCCTGATGGACTATGCTTTAAAGGCATTGCTTGATCAGGATAAGATCTAATCGTAGAAAGTGATGAAACATCTTTATGCTCATTGGCATTTATAGATGACCCAGAAAGTATGGATAGAGAACAGGGATTAGAAACAAGTGTATCACGACGAATATAAGAAGCGGACATGGAATAGTTGAGGTACAAAAAATTGGAATTTTCTGAACTAAATTTTTTATAAGATCTTCGCCCAGTAGCAACAATAATGATGACCAAAATAAAATGTTTTAATGAAGTTAAATATGAATAAATAAAGGTATAAGACCCAGCTAGTAAGCACAATAAAATGGCGCTTTTAGTAAGTGAGGTAGCAAACGAAAATTGAGTTTAAAATACAAGATTTTCGCGTGTATATGAATGTTTAGAAAAATAAATGAAGTTATCGAAAATGTTAGGTGCCACACAAGAAAAATCACAATTATGTGGCCATATGGCGCTTTTACGTAGTAGAAACCTAAACAGAAAAAAAACATATAATACCAGATTATTAAGTCTTAGAAAACAATACAGTGTTAAAGATACATAACTGAATGTTTAAAACCCTTAGGGAAACATTTAAAATGCATAAAGTAGATTTAAAACTGATAACCATGTAAAATAAAATAAAATCCCTGACAATTTGGGAAATATATGCAAATGAATTAGAAGGCCAATTGGCGACCATCTAAATAATAATCGTTTCATTCACTGTATGAAGGTAACCATTAATATCGGTATATTGTGGGTAAACACAAATACCAAAGCGATGTTTTTCATTACCTTAAGATGTTTTTACGTATTCATTCTGTTTTCGAGGTTATCGACTTAGAAAGAAAAAAAGACTTAGACCAGTGTGCTTTCTTTCCTACGAATTTCCATAGTTGTTGAAATATACAGTTGGAATAACCGATACGTAGTATACTTCCAGACTGTCTGACAGACCAATTAAAAAATCACCTAATTATGTCAACCGCGCAAATCAAGTTTTTTGTTGATTCATAATGACTACATTTGAAATTTCTATGAGCAGTAGAACATGTCAATATACAAAGCCGTGTATTAATTGGAGTGTACAACGCGCTTATCACAAGCGCTACAGTAATCTTATCGGTTTGTAATTGAAAAATGTAGAACTGCGTCGAGCTGAATACGAAATATTATTCCTGGTCTACTGAAACAATGCCCTAAAGAACGTATTGGAGCTTCCGATGTTCAAACTTTGTGGCAGAGAGGACAATGGGCTTTCTTGAGACTCTAGAATCTCGCGCTATCGATGCACGATACGTCTCCTAAATGCACATACTGGATCCAAGTATGGTCATTTACTTGACCTCGCCTTGCCAGTATAAAGAACCGGTGCGATTCATCTCTCGTGTATTTGGAGTCCCCTCTGCCATTTCTCAAGGCTTTTTCCGTTTGACTGACTGGTTGACGTATACACAAGGAAATACTGTAAGCAATCAATGGACGAGACAATGGAAAACCAATACACAAATCATTTCAGGAATTTTGAATAAAACGTATCATTCGTAACCATGAAGATAAGACTAATTACTCCCTATTTTGAGCTGAAGACCAAGAAATATTTGGAAAGAAATTTAGTAACTTACAAACGTGTCTCACTTGTTGTGAAGTGAGTTTACGAGAATATATGGACAAGCATGTACACGAATAAGCGTTCTCTTAAAATACTATGGCACCAACCTGTGTCTGCAACGCAACATACCTTGGAGAAACGGACGATAACTTATACAATTACACTATAGGTCCTCAATGTAAACTCAACATATTAAACATTGACAATGTTTTATCACTGCGTTGTCATCAGTAGATAAGCGATGCTAAGACTGGTAGTCGTTAACTTACTTTCTGGCACAGCCTTCAGAACTAATAGGAATTAATCTATGAATATGGTCATGCCAAGTGTTAGAAAGCATCAGATGAGTTGTTATAAAATACATACTTCTTGTTAAAAGACATTAAATATAAAACGACTTAGGTGCCTATATCTTTTCCATTTAAATTCCCGTTACCATTAAGGTCATCAATAATGAAGGTTTAAGAAAGGCTCTGTACTAGTGCCTTTACTCAATGTAAAGATTGAAGAAATCTGTTAGGCAAACATTTTTTCCATTTTTCAGCACAATCGAACATCTAACAAATACAAAGCGGTGTGACTATTACAGGAATGTCTCGATGTCTTTCAGCTGAAAAGAAAAAAATCAACGACAGCCACCGCCCTCCATAATTAAAACCAAGAAAAGTTGGCAAAATATGTGGAGATAGCTACAATTAGATGGGCTAGACGGTGGCATGTACTTTGATAAGATAGGATATTTGATGATAGTTTTGGTCTATGACCCGATACATTATAACACACAGTAGGTTAGTTTGCGACACGGATTTACACAAACGAACTGGATTTCATAGTATATGTATTCTTATCAGCATACAGATGTATTTTCACTGTGATTGCCTGAGTGAGTCTTAGAACCATTTGAAGGGATGATAGTATTATGTAATATGGCCTAGTAACCCAGCACACCTCTGAAATCAAGATCTATCCTTAAAGTAGCATTAACTGTCAAACTTCGCTATTATGTATAATACATAGATGGTGGAAATAACAGTGTCACGATAACCATGCACATAGCAAAGCGAACAACAATATCCCCACCAACAATTCTGAAATTGGATAAGTACGCTTAACGTGACTATTTTTTCACTGTAATTGTGTGATTTGATAATGTCTAATAACCTTGAACCCGTTGAGCATCACATTTTTTTCCAAGGATTCACCTTTGTGGGTTTGGCGTAACCACTAGTTGCTATTTTGTCTTTATAGTATAGTTTGCCGTAAGGGTCATAGGTTGAACCATAGAAAATTGCCAGTCATTTAGTTCATTTAATTCAGCACTATGAATTTGAGCTTAAATACCACACTATGGAAGAAGACAAAACACTGATGATAGGGTTTGCACAATGCACTCGAGATGGAAACGAAAAACATCAGTTCTTCCTGAAATCCTGCCTTGGAATGGCGCCATCCATTAGAAGAGACCTAGGAAGGGATTCATAATATGGAACCAGAGAGAAGCCAAAGCCGAACTTTTGAGACTAGAAGTATAAATTTTTACAAATTTATGTAGCCCTGAGACAGTACATAGGTTGTTGTTAAAAAACCAAGTACCCGGGTTAATACAGTTATACTAACCTTACAAGGTATCAAAGAAATGGGGATCGTGCTTTTTAATGTGAGGAAGCCGATATATATAATAAATTAGGGATTTTAACCATTTCATTCCGTGAAACGTAGCACATGGAAAGGATTATGGACAGGTACCTTAGCAAATAACCCTTTTGTGCAAATTCGGCAATTAAAACGATATAAATTAAACACTGACCTACCCTTAAAAATAATTAACCCAAGATACAGGTCACAACATGGTGAAGGGCATTTTATGACGGAAACAAAGCGCACGGGAGAGCATAATTAGCACCGTTCAAAAGCCCACCAAGAGAGTTTCGCATTTGACAGACCACAACCAAAGAGTTTAATGCTCAATGATAAATTGCATATTCGCCTCGATTTTCTTCAGTGATTGTCGAGATAGGAGAGGGATAAACAAGCTCAATCTTTTTGTTTTATAGCCTGAAGACTTGCTGATTTTAAGTAAACCTACTGTTTGAAAGTTTATGGTCAATCGATTTGGCGACATTTCAGCATAGCACACGTTAAGCGATTCCTCTCTCCTAGACAGTTAAATTACAAGCGTTATGATCATATCCCACTCTGTACAATGAGGTATATGCTATATCCTAGTGAAGGTTACATCACGAGTAACGTCTGGGACCTATTCATGGACTAATACTATTTATATATTATTATGGTATAAATATTCAGCAACTAGATTATGTATATCTATATCCCCCTTGTTATAAGCTTTATTTTGACCTATATACTATTATTGTACGACTTACTATTCTTAAGCTATGTTCATTTTATTGATTACTGCCTCCCATGTTCACAGCCACTTTTTAGTTTTATTGTGTGCGGATTGACATGATAATATATTTATGTGACCGATCCAATTTAATTTGTCAGTGTCTCGAAGGAAGGTTGTATTGAACCTTTGTAATGCTGTTCCCCCTGTTGTCCAGTGCTTCTGTAGCTTCAGTTTCATCTTGACCACAACCAGGTGGTGTCCACTCCTCTCCTGGTTCTCACGTCTTCATTGACCTTGTGAATTTCTTACTGATACAAATAGAATCATATGGTTCTTGTGATGTGGTGCGGTGATACCCACGTAACTTATGTATGTGTTTGTGGGGGAGTACTGTGTCACCTGCAACCACTTTATTGAAGGCACATAGATTTGCAAATTTGTCTCCATTCTCATTCCGCTCTCCCAGATCATGAAGACCCATGATATATCTATACGCGGTAGTGTCCATTCCGATTTTGGCGTTTAGCTCTCCTGTCAGGATGATCAAGTCCTCTCCTGAGCACTTCGCTATGATTGGTTTCAGCCTCGTGTCAAAATGATCTCTGTCATCTTCGCCGCTATCATTCGTAGATGTATAACATTCATTGTGATTCCCTCGTTCTTTGTTTTGAATGATGCTTTGATGATTCTGGGTCCATGAGATCCCCATCCTTTGAGTGATTTTCTCGCTTCACTGGACAGAATCAGAGCAACTCTCTGGGTGTGTGTAGCATTTTCTTCTTCACGATAAGATTACACCAGTATCTCTCGTGAACCTAATCTTGTCTGTCCATCTTTGTTTCATGTGGTTTTATCTATTGTGTGCACCATCGAGTTGTATCTGTTCATTTCTGCAGCTATTTGACTGCTCCTCCTAGTCACTCACATTTTCCGGACATTCTATTTTCGCATGTAAATTGTTGCTCTGGTTGTTTGAAGGGACATTGACCTCGTGACTTTTGAAGAATCTCGGATTTCACCATGAGGTGTCATAGTTCTTCTGAATGATGATCCTTCAACTTAGAGGGAAGGGGTGGTAAATGGGCATAGATTTTCATCAAACTTGGTTCATTTTTAATTACAATGAAAATGAGAGAGGTACAGGTAAAAATGATTGTAGGGAATACTACTAAACTTAGCTACTATTTTACTAATAATTGAAAT